AGCTGACTGTGACTGTATGCACCCTCTCACTGAAATAACATGTGACGCAAATTGAAGTGGGAAACTAAATTGAGAGCCTCGGTCGTTTATTGGAGGAGAATTTCAAAACTAATTTACTGCCACTTTTATGGGCAGAGCTTCTTTCCGGCGCGCTTCAAATTGCAGACATGCTGTCCGCATTATTTGTAACAACTTCTGTAATTGTAAGTGTGTAACCTATTGTAGTAAGTTATCAACATCTAGCACTACTTCGGCGTCAAATCAGTGCCTGGAATTGCTGTAATTGTTATTGCCTCAGGTATTTTTATATATTTCTCAGTATTTTCCAAATCTACTGGTATTATTGACATACATGTACATATGTATACCATTATGTCTGTATACCTACTTACAAAAAATTGGTTAAGGTAAGTCCAAGAAATGTTTCAGGACACAGGAAACATGCCGGACGGTCATATGGACAACCAGAAGGAACACAACATTTTGAATGATTTCTGACAGAATCTAAACAAGCAGCCTGTCGGCTGAGATAGCTCCACTGTTAGCAATGCACATTTCAATTAAAGAACTGAAATTAGAAATATATGAACAATATGTAGACTTACTGTTTTTAACAAGAAGTCGAAAATATCACTTTTTAAAGATATCATCATGAAATGGACAAATCTGAGAGAGGTCTACCCAAGGTACATATACACCAAGTATCAAAGGATTCCGGCTTATAGTTTTCAAGCAGAAGTCGAAAATGTAAAACATTGACACAGACAACAACGACGGACAATAACTCATATGATAAGCTCTGTGCGACAAAGTCGACAGCGGAGATAAAAAAGGATGCTTCATGATTGTGGAGAATAGAGCAATTGCAGTCATTAGTGAGAATCACAAGCTGATCACAACTGAGAGGAAAAAAATAAATCATTATTTTATACATATTGTTTTAATATTTGACATTGATGAGTGATGTACTAGACTAGAGAATACATGTGAATAAGAATGGCACAGATTAATATATTCCTGTCTTTTGAAAAGGAACAGCATGCTACTAAGATATCTTCAAATAAGCAGAACTACTTCTATTGGATCTTTATTTGCATAAGTGGTACACCAGCTGAGTAGTCACTTGCCTTAGAAACAGTATCAAGGGGTGTCTAATTATTGTTGGTTTAAATAAAATTACGGTTGCTATTTTGTGACAATTGCATATCTGGGAATTAAAGCTGAAATATACTAAGTCCCTGTTGTGTCTTTTATCCCTGTGTGAACATATTGCCAAAAAAAAATGAAAATGGCTGTCTGGTAGCCATTTTTTACACAACATTCATAATTATTATATTGTATTTAAGAGCAAAATGTTTGATCAGATCGAAACTAAAACGATGCGCACATGATAAAGAGAAAAGCGTCTGTATGTTACAACAGGGACTAATAAAAAAAATACATGCATAATTCATGTCTGGGTTGGCAACTGAATGTAGCACTCAAAAACTCTTATCAGCTGATTTCAGTGAATGATTAATTTTCAAAACACATGCAAGTATTTATGAGTCATCAAGTAACATACATACATGCTAGCATTATGAAACACCCAAACCCCAGGCATCAGCGTATCACTGTAGGTCATACGTTCTAATCAATCAACTCACAAAGCATGCATACATTCACAGAGTGAAATGATACAAACATAATTGGTCTCAGTTTAAAAATGATGTAATGTTCAAGTATTATTATGTTATTTTATGTCATATTTATTTCATCTTTATTAAGAACACCATCGTGCAATAGTTGGTAACCGAATATCCAGCTTACTATTCCTTTGAGGTTCAGGCGGATTGTATAAAGTTACCAATACTAGAAGAATCAATATTCACTGGGTTTGAATTTCATTAATACAACACTTTGAGTGTGTTTGCAGAGTTTTAAATTTAATGTTATGTCACTGAAGAAATGACATGATATATAGCATATGATTTAAATGGAAACACTCAAAAATTAAACGCCATTCAACAATTAGTAATTTTCATTTGTTTTAATTGAAGGGAAACTGCTGGAAGCCACTAAATTTTTAAACCCAAAATGATAGGTGCACAAATTAAATGAAATTATTTGCATCTTTTTAATGTCAAAATTAACGATGTTAGTAATTAGTGTTTCATCTTATTTGTACAAATGCTCAACATTCCTAGAACAGACCCCCCCCCTGCATGACAATCATAGAAGATGCGTTTATTCTGCAAGCCATCAATAATGTTTAGTTTGCGATGAACAATTAATTTGACAACTAATACAGAGAAATTGTCAGCTGATGACGTCAATGATTTGAATTACGTCCAATGATAATTTATATATACAATGTTTAACAGCTAAAAGACAGGATACAATATGCACAAGATATATTCCATGTACATGCAATAAATACCCCATAGCTGTATTTCAACGAAGACATGATACATGGGATAAGTAATTAATGTTAAATTGTGAACTGTGAAGCAACACAAACTATTTACTGTGTTTATCATAAATGCCCATTAAAAATAATATACAAATTTAGGCTGAATAAAAAATGTGTGTGGTTCTGATAACCTTATTCTTCCTAAAAATGTAATGCCTAACGTAAACATTTTTTTGGCCAAATATGACTTCAATGAGACCGTCGCTTTACTGTAAGCAAGTTACATGTAGAGTGAAGGGGAGTGTAAAACATTATAAATTGTCCCTGTGAAATACTTTATTTTCACAAGGATTTTATATTTTGCTGTCTTTCTGGATTGAATTAAATTTCATGAAATTATCATATTCAAGAATACGAATGAGCTTTACAGTAAGTGTAATTGAGGTTAGAGTAAATGCAAAACAAAACTACAAACAATTTGAACACAAAATCAGAATATAATTAATAAACATTATTAAACATCTGTCACTGTAATGCCAGTTACAGTGTGCTGTAATTTTGTGATATTTTACAGGGTATTTTCATCCTACTACCGTACTCGACCGCGTTAGCGCCCATGCCCGGGCAAGCGCCCATCCCCCACTTTTGCACAAGTGGTCACATTCGGCAAAGCGCCCAACCCTTCAAAATGCAACTAATTTAAAACTTGGTCTTGCGTAACAAATCTTGGTAATCGTTTTTATATGATACAGCGTGGATATCGATCGCTGTGAATGCGTAGAATACGATAACCGTGTGTAAACTATGCTTCGACAATGACCTGTTAATAAAAGTAAAATGCGATAAATATTTCATGCCATATTCAGTTTACCTCTCAAAAATGGCTAGTTACTAGTTTTTTGGAAAAACCATGTCGTTTATTCGCTGAAATCAATTCCAACAGACCGTACTTCGACATCGATAATTCACTTCCGCATTGTGTTACCGGAAAGTCTTCGGGAATTTCCGAAGAATTGCGTCAGTCAAAACACAGCATTCTGATTAGTTAATAACCAACTTGACCCATTAGGTCAAGGACGCTGCTGTAGGTCAAATCTGCAAATGCATCATGGTGGAAATAATATGACAATTTTGACTTCGACTGTGTTCCAACAGACTCAAATGTTTTTAATTCAGTAAATTATGGTGGTACGTAATTAATATTGTAATAAAATGTGCGTATTTTTTGTGATCATTTCTGTTTCTTCATTGTGAAAATCAATGACGACGCAACTAATTTAGTAATTTTAATTCTCCCTCAAAGACGTAATCTGTCACTTGATGAATCAAAATTTTCATTTGTACTCTTTTTTGAGGGGGGTGCTCGGGTAAGCGCCCACCCCTAAAAAATCGTGATTTTTTGAGTTGAGGCCCCTGGGCGCTAACGCGGTCAAGTACGGTATATTAGGAAATGCAAATTCCAAATATGGAATGATTACGTTCGTAAGCGTCCTTTAATAATAAAAACAAACATGGCTGCAACCAGGGTTTGATCGGAGTCCACACAAAAAAG